AAATACTCAAATCAAAAGTCATGGTCTCTCGAAGTTTTACAATAACGTGCCACTTGACACATTATTGAAATCAAAATCTCGTGTGAGTGCCTCGAGGGTAGGGGACGACATTCAGTGTCACTAGAGGTCTCCCATGATATTAAACGATCTCTATTGATAAATATCAGGAATCAAATATCAAATTGGTACATTAGTGTGGTGAAAACGTCATTTAGTCTCATGTTATCTAAGATACTTCTCTGATGTTATACAATTATAAAAAATTAAAAATACATGCCTCTCTATTTTCTAAATTTTTTTTTGATGAATCCCACTTAATTTATTTCACAACAAAAAATATATTTTCTCTTATTACATAAAAAAAATAAAAATAAAGCCCTCTTAATAATCTCCTGGTTTGACGCCTTTTGCATGTAATTTGAGTCTTTGTCGTTGAAAGGGAAGGACAGAGGAAATGTCATGTTATCAATACAGAAATAACAGAAAAGGTAAAACAGCAGTAGCTTTTTATAGGAAAATAAATCAAGAAAGGCATATGATGTAACAACTTGTGTCTCCTGCATCATTCATCATTGCATGCTTCAGCATCCTACACCTACACCAGGAACATAATTTAAATGGGCGAAATACTACTCTCATTTTATATGAGGTAGTTATCTTATTTTCTCTCACATCGAAAATCGCACCCTTTCTTTTTTCTTTTTCTTTTTTACTTTTTAATGGTGGACCCCACTTAAACTCTCTCTATAGCATGAGATAATACTCTCATGTAACATAAGATTAATATTCATTCCCCTTTAAATGGAAATAAAGACATTGGATGAATGAAAAGTCAAAAAAAGTAAGGAGTAACACCGTAGGTTGCAAGCAGTCACCGTGCCACGGTCATCAAGAACAAGTGAAGAATCATTATTTATTAAATTAAGAAAATTATTATTTGCATATTAGTGCAATTACACTATTCTTACATTATTTTTTTACTTTTTTTTTTTTTTTTTTTTTTTATAACAATTTTTTTACTTTTATTTTTCGAAACAAGTAAATGTAACAAAAAATTGTAAAAGAAGTGAAGTGGAAGAATCATTTTCCTTAAATTAAATTGCACTGTTGAATTGGCTCAGGCTACTTCTCACAATTCACACCGGCTTGAGCTTCCTTCTCTAGTTACAATACACTCCTTCTTCCCTAACCGGTTAGCCCCAGCCCCACAACTCACAATCCTGAGAAAAAATAAAAAAGATAAAAACGGAAATCCTAGGGCCTGTTTGATTGCTTTTTTTTTTATTTATTTTTAAAACTGTTTTATAAAATAGTTAATGAAATAAGTGTTTTCTGTATTTTTTTAATTTTGAAAGTTAAACCTCAAAACACAAAACAAAAATAACTCAGATATGTTCTTTAAATTTGATTTTAAAAACTAAAAAATAATTATACTTTTAAAACTATTTTTACAAAATAGGTATTATCAAATAATTTTTTATTTTATTTTTCTGAAAATCAAAAAACTGTTTATAAGAATTGAATTCAAAGAGGCTCCTAGTCTTCTTCTTTTTTTTGTAAATTTAAAATTATAATTAAAAACCCAGATAATGCTTTTGGGTATGGGCTTCTAATCCTACCTGCTTAATGCACACTCAATGGCCTCATTACTTATTTGAGTTGAGCCTGGGGGTTTTTAATTTCAGATATGTCTACCAGCTTAGGAGCCCAATTTAACTGGGGAAGTGGGCCTGGCCTGTCCATGAGATTTCATAATCATCAAGGCAACTAAACTCGAAAAGATTTTAAGTTGAAAGTCAGTAACATTTTCATACTGTCCTATTCCTATTTTACATATCATGAACAAACAATATAAAAGAAAATAACATTCTGTTGGGTTTGCTCTTTTACTAAAGTCCAAATGGATTATTAGTATGATAAGAGCTCAAGGAACCTAGAACCCAATGAGCTAGGGTTTCTTGGAACCCATATAAATAGTACCTCTTAAGTCATCAGCCTCCTAGGTCTTTTTTGTGAGAAAGAGGCAAGCTCAGAATCTAATCAGTGCCCACACACTTCCCCTTCCTCCTCGAGAGATAGTTTGGAAGATCTGCCACAGTCCAGCTTCAAGGAGGTTGTTCGTGCTGCGGCGCTGAGGTGAGCTGTTTGTGAAGAGGAATCCTACAAGGGAAGATTCTACACGAGACATGCGCACCGAGAGGTAATTGTGAAACAAGGATGATTCGGTAAGCATACCAATGTACTAGGTCCTAAACCGCTTCCGCATAAATCTAAGATTTCCTACACATTCACCCCTTCTATAACAAAAATCTACCATTTTCTCTTCATCTTTATCCTCCTATGTCTATGCTTTCACAAGCACCAGCAAGTGAACTCTAGTACCTCAAGTTTCCGTTAAAGTTGCTACTTAAAGTTCTCTTAAGAAGCATTATATATTCATGCATGAGCACTAGGGTTGTGCATGGGTCAGGTCGGGTCAGGTTTTTGTCCGACTCGACCTAACTTGGTTTTTATAGGTCAGGTATTTTGACCCGACCCGCTTTAATTTGATCCAAGTCAGGTTTGACTTGGATTGGATTTTGTTGAACTAGTTCAGAACCAGTTTGGATCTGACCTGGTTTCTGAAGTGGGTCTGACTTGGTTTCTAAACTGGGTCAAATCTGACCTGACCCGTTTTTTACTTGGTTTTCTCACAAAATTTTGTTGAAATTTTTACGTTGCAAAAGACGAAAATTTCGTCACAATTTTTTTTCGTCGAAATTTTTACAAAAATTTTTTTTCTATTGAAATTTAGTTTCCGCGAACAGTTTTGACAAAAATGATTTATTCCATCAAATGTTTTAAACGAAAAAACAATTTTGTCAAAAAATCTGACAGAATGTTTTTCGTTCAAAATTTCGATGAGAATGTGTTCTGACGAAAATTATGACGGAAATTATTTCGAGGGAAATGTTTCATTTGAAACTTTCGTCGAAATTTAGATTCTTTAAAGAATTTTGACAGAATATTTTTTTCGTCAAAATGTTTTTTTTGTCAAAAAAATTTACGGAATTTTTTTAAAGTAATGTGTTTCGTTGAAAATTTTAATGGAAATTTTTTATCAAATAACTTGACGAAAATATTTAGTTGAAAATTTTCGATGGAAATGTGTTTCGCTAAAAATTTTGACGAATTTTTTTTTTTTGTCAAAAAATTTAACGAAAAATTTTTCGTCCAAAACTTTCGCCGAAATTTGGAATCAATAAAGAATTTTGATGAATTTTTTTGCCGTCAAAATTTTTTGATGACGAAAATATTTCTGTCGAAAACTTTCGCCAAAATTTGAAATCTGTAAAGAATTTTGATGAAATTTTTGGCCGTCAAAATTATTTGATGACGAAAATATTTTCATCGAAAACTTTGCCGAAATTTGAAATCTGTAAAGAATTTTGATGATATTTTTTGCCGTCGATATTTTTTGCCGTCAAAATTTTTGAGGACGAAAATGTTTCCGTCGAAAACCTTCGCCAAAATTTGAAATCTGTAAAGAATTTTGATGAAATTTTATCCGTCGAAATTTTTTGCCGTCAAAATTTTTTGATGACCAAAATATTTCAGTCGAAAACTTTCGCCGAAATTTGAAATCTGTAATGAATTTTAATGAAATTTTTTGATGGAAATGTGTTTCGTCGAAATTTTCAATGGAAATTGTTTTGAGGAAAATGTTTCATTTGAAACTTTCGACGAAATTTAGATTCTCTAAAGAATTTAGACAAAATATTTTTTCTGTCAAAATTTCTTATCGAAATATTTTTGTCAAAAAATTTTACGAATTTTTTTTACAGAAATGTGTTTCGTTGAAAATTTTGATGGATATATTCTTTATCAAAAAACTTGACGAAAATATTTAGTCGAAAATTTTTGATAGAAATGTGTTTCGCTAAAAAATTTGACGAAATTTGTCTTGGTCAAAAATTTTAACGAAAATGTTTCCGTCGAAATTTGAAATCTGTAAAGAATTTTGATGAAATTTTTTTCGTCAAAGAATTTCGATGAAAATGTGTTTCGTCGAAAGTTTTTATGAATATTTTTTTTGTGAAATATTTTGACGAAAAATTAGATTCTGTAAAAAAAATTTGACAAAAAAAATATTCCGTCAAATTTTTTTACCGTTATGTTTTTAGTCACAAATTTTGATGAAAATATTTTTCGTCAAAATTTTTGCGAAATTTTTTATAAAAATATTTTCCATAAAAATTTTTGACTTAATTGTTTTACGTTAAAACTTTTCTTCTAATGTAATTATGATTTTTTTTCACATAATGGGTATGGGTCAAGTTTTGGGTCAGTTGGTCAATATTAAAACGAGTCAGGTCTAAAACTGACCCAAATAAAAGTGGGTCAGTATTTAAACTAGTTCAAAATATATGGGTATTTTTGAGTCGGGTCAAGGTCGGATCAAGGACAGAGCAAGTGAACTAGTTTTTTTGCACACCCCTAATGAGCACTTGTTATTCCTGAAAAGTGACATTTGTACGTGATTGTAAGTAGGGGCGACAAAACAGACTAGACTCGGTAGGCAGACCTGCCCCGTCAGCCAAACGGGGCGGGTTGAGTTTTATAACTCACTCTCAAAAGTAGGGCCGAGCGGACTGACTCATTTTTTGGTGGGTTGATAACATGACAGAGCAAGTCAGTCTAAAATAGTTTCGGACCGACAAGCCGAGTTCTTAACCCATGGCTGACTCATTTTTTAGCAGATTAATAGTAGGCGGAGCGGAACGGGACAAGCGACTCACTTTCTCACCTCTGAATCAGCTGCTTTTTTAACAGAATAACAGAGGTCCCCAATGTGGCAATGTTGTTCCCCATGGAAACTAGATTTAATTGTACAGCATGCTGCCTTAAACGATCTTAAAGGCTGGTCAACGGACACGTCCCTCTAAATACACGTTTTATTCAATGGTCAAACAAGTAAGCTTTAGCACAACACAAAATATAATTTTTATTTTTTGGGTTACAAACACTAAATACAAATTTACTCATACTATTCACACTTCCATTGATTGGTATTTGACAGTGATGGTTTTATCACATGGTACATTTTGAATACGAATACTTGCTTCTGTTGGAAAAAAGAAAAAACATTGAAGAAAAGTATTAAAATCATGCTCCAATCTTATACTCTAGCTTGCCATGATGATCCTGTCATCATGAACTTATAATTTATTTACCTATATGCCAGCAGATATGAGTGTAACAGTTACTAATCCCTGTGAGCAATCGATTCATTGCCGTTTAGCCATGTTGCCCATTTAACCGCACGGAGACATGTCCATACTACATGTTAATCTTAGACCCTACCAACAGGAGAGAGCGGTGGATAACAAACATAACTTGCAGGAATGTCCACCAATTTACCAAAAGCCTTTAGTTCCTCAGTTTGCACCGATAGTGTTTCCCTTGGATTTTTTCCTTCAATGGAGTTTCTTGATCCAGATAGTTCATATGGCATCTTACTATCCACTAATGCTATGCAGATGGAGAATGCTTGCAAAAGTGAGAGTGACGAATCAAAGGCAATTGAATACATTCCATGCTTAAAGGGGGTAAAACTAAATGCCGGTAGGAGTTCTTGTTTATTCCCCTGTGGTTAGCAAGGAAAGAGAGAGAGAAAATTACTAATCAATAACAATACGTGCAAAATAAGTTTAATCAACAAAATGTACCTGCACAAAAAGATCAATTTGATCCGAAAAATAAGCTTTGGATGACCTTGGCTTTCTACAGGCTTGATTTTCATTAGCAAGAACTTTAAGTCCGCAAGCCAAATCCCAACCACCACAGTCACATGATCCACCTGATTTCCAGCGCTCAATAAGTGATGAAGGTCCACCTTTACTTGGAAGACTATGAACCCCACCTGGGAGCACAACTGTTGTATGGACAAGTTGGCAACTGCTCTGATGACGATCATTGATGAAACTGATAGCTTTAGGTATTTTGACAACAATAGCAGCAAGCTCATTGTTTGGCTCATAGTCATTGGCCTGACCATCCCCTGGCCCTAGCTTTACAGAAAACATAACAAACTCTTTTATTGAAGAGGAGTCCACACAATTCTGGCCTGTTAAATCATAAGTGTGTGAATCAGAAACCTTCATTTGGGCAACAGCATGGGGAATGTATTTAGGACCTTTGCTTCTGCCTGCTTGATTCATCCAACTTCTATTATTCTTCTTAACCTCCCTCAAGGTGAAAATGGTATAAATACAGTTGCATTCATCTTTTCCTGAGGCACCTAACTTCTTCACAGTGGCTGCAAGAATGTTGCTATCAGTGTGATCAACAGCAAATGTGAAAAGGGGCATGCCATTCCTCATAACAATTCTCAGAAGAGCTTGAGTCATTGATGGGATGTGCTTCTTGTCCTTTGATGAATCAGTGGTATTAACTGGGCTGGAACCGACCCTATGGTCCCTGTCCATTTCTTTGTCTGGCTGCAGAGTGGAAACATTCCCATTAGCTGATCTACAATTCTTATTTATTAACACTGAATCCTTCTGAGATGACTCCAAGGAGCCACGGCTCTTTGCTGTATTTGGTTTCAGCAAGGGATCCAGTAGCCTCCTTAAATTGCTTGACCTGCTTCTGCCGGCATCAACAGGTTTATCATTGCCTGAAATATCAGAGCTAGCAAAACCTCTCACATTTTCTGAACTAGATTTAAGAGCTGCTGTGGAGCTCAGATGTGGCACATGCCCACCCTCTTTACAGGCAGACCCTTTGCATGTATAGCCAATGCTGATGCTTAATCGACGAAAAGGTGAAGAGCTTCTTGACTTTTCAGATGTTACTTTTTGGTCTAATTCCTGGAGAGGCCCATTTGCAGATGAAGTTTTGGCTATAGATTGTTTTCTTTCCACATCTTTTCTAGATCTGGATGGGCTTATTTCCATTTTGACTGATAAGGGTGATGAGAAAGTGGATAAGGGTGATGAGACAGCAGAAGCAGGAAGTTTGATACTTTCCAGATCTATGGAACTGGACCCTGACCATCTATGGCGAGAATGATCACAGCTGAGTTCATCTGGAAGAGGACAGGATTGCAAAATATCATAATTGAGATCTTTATGGAAAAGCTCCTTAGGCTTTTCTGAAAAGCTCAATCGACTATAATTTTCAGACTTCTGAATTAAGGAAGTTCGCATATCAGGAACTCCACAATGACTCTTCCGAGGGCTGTCTCTAGGCAGAAGAACAACTGGCTCACTTTTCCTGAGGATACCTTGCATAACAATATCAGTATTTGGTTCTTTCAAAGTCTCCACCTTTTTTTCCAATCCACGATCTTGAGTGCATATTTCCAGCTTAGCACGTGATGCTGCTTCGATGTCACTTTCCTTATCAGTACATGGATCCAAATATTTCCTGTCACATCCTTCCAGTCTACTATTAGCATGGTTCAGGGAAAGATGATCATCAAATCTAACATATTTCCTCTGTGTGTCAACATTACTATGGTTACCTCTAAAATTCTGACAATCTCTAACACTTTCTCTAGAGGATTTGATTGCTTGGGAGTGGCCTTCCATTGGAGATGCCATAAAGTGAGTTTGCAGTGATGGATGGAATTTCCTTTGACCAGAAGGAGAACAACTATGACCTGTGCTAGAAGGACCAGATAACCCGCCCCTCGAAACAGAAGAGGATGTATTACTAGATGTCGAGCTCCTGCCACTCCTATGTGATACACGTTTATGACTGTACTGCCATTGTTCTAGACGGGACCAATCAAGAACCCCAACATTTAAAGCTTTCTCGTTATTTTTTCTCCCCCTCTCCAAATAACCTGGCAACTTTGACATGTACATAACCAACTCATCTTCTTCACTTGCCCTTCCATAATTCGGTTGCTTGTGGTGCTTCTGGTAAGATTTTGAACTACTGTCTTCCTCACGTTTGTTAATTTCATGATGAAGATCAGCATACGACAAAGAAGACTTCTCTGGCTTTAACTGGTTTCTACTCATACTGGTGGATAGTTTCCTGAATTTTATTTCAGATCTGACAACTATCCATCAGTTTTCCGAACTCCAACCCAGGAACAAATCTACTACCTTGTCTTCGAAAGAGACTGCAGTCCAGAAAATACTATGCTTGTTTTTCTTCTGCACAACTGGATTACATTTGAAAAATCAAACTTCCAAAAACAAAGATTTCAAGCTAACTGAACTATTGCTTATTGTGAAAGAGAAAATATATCAGGGGTGTCTTATGTGAACCAAATACAAAACCAGCAAGTAATATCATGACAGCAGCAAATCAGATTTATGGTACTAAACTAGATTAAAGACATGAAAAAGCAAAAATCATGGTAAGAATTCACGAGAAAGAAAATCTATCAGCTAAAAATGTAGAATAAGGCTCTAAGAAAGATCTTTTCCGGATAACTGCCGAAATTGAAATTAAGGGGTAAAGGTTGTGGGGCTATCTACATCAATGAATCACATTTCTTCTTTCAATTGATTTTAATATGATAACACGTGACTGAGGTGACTTAACACTGCTCTCAAGATGAGAAAACCAGAGAAGCTGTGCATCAGACTGAATAAATAATATATGGAATATAGTAGTGACAGAGTTAACGAAAAATGACGTATGGAAAGTGGAAGCTACTAGCACACAAGTCACAACAACCAAGTGGAAGTGGTCCATGCAAATGACGCAAACCCATTTTGAAAACATAAAAGATAAGGCTTAAGGACACATCTTGATCCGAAATCAAACTATTTTGCCACACACAACTAAGGGAAGAGACAAAGATCCCCAGCTATTCAAAATCAAATCACAGCACAGTAGGGCCTCGTTCTCGTTGGTTCTCCACCTTGGTAAGAAAAACAACTTCAAAAATTCCAGAATTACAGAGAAGCTCAAAATTACAAAGATGGGAATGCATACCGGAGAGGGTATGTGACAGTTTGAAGAAAGCAGGGAAGGTGAGTGTCGGTGTTGCAAAAGGACATTGCATTTAGCAACAAAGATGATAATAAGATAAATAATATGATGCATGTGCCAAAGGCCTCACTTTTCTTCCTCAGTTCAGACCCACCCAAAAAAAAAAACAGCGAGATTCAGACGCGTAAACACTTACAGAGAGAGAATCGAGGAACTGAACTTAGGTGATTTGTTTTTTGGGTGAGTGTGCCACTGCCACTAAGTAGTTGAAGGAAGACACTGTTAAGGTAAAACCTCTTCGGTGAGTGAGTGTGTTTTATTAAGTTGTAAGGTGTCATCTTATGAAAAGTGATAAATATAAGATACTAAATAACAGAGAGTCTTCGTTATTTTTTTCTTTTATAAAAAAACTCTAATTTAACAAGAGCTTAAAGGAGGGGCCCATCGTTTTCAACATTTCAAGATGGGTTTATGATCAGACGGTGATGGTGACCTCACAAAGAGACAGGCGCGGAGACGATAGAGAGTATGTGTGTGTGTTACCAGGCCCCACGTGAAGCCTTATTTTATTGGCTTTGCCTTTGATTCTCTTTTGTGAGAAGAAGTGTTGATTAAAATGGTGGGCCCCCCTGCTAGTGGGTGGGCTTCACCGGGCCCACTTAAATCCTCTCTCGTTTGGGCCGTACGATTGGGCTCGAGAGAGAGAGATTGTCGTTTATTGAGATCAATTATGTTCGCTTTATCTCTCTTTCATTTTCTTTGTTTTGATAAATTCATCTTTGCCTGTTTTCGCGTTAGAGTGGAATATTCTGTCCTTGATGTTTGGCGTTAATGGCTTCAACTGGTTTTCAAACTACTAAAGATTATTATTTTTTTTTTAGAAAAACACGCAACACGCCTATTTGTTTGTGAGAATATGCAAATATATTAGGAAAAAAAAAAAACACGACAAAAAAACTTAACAGCGAGGAATCACAAATTTTAGACGTTACAATGGTTACATGTTTCTTTTGTCAGAGTTACTCCTCCTTTTTTATTTTATTTTTTGTAACATAATTACTCCTCCTTTTCTAACGGCACTTTTTGACAAAATGTTTAGCGAGTTTCGTGAAAATTATAAAAGGTGTGTTTTGCAGGTCTCCCCAATTAGCGAAAAGAGTATAATATATTACATAACAGAATGTAGCTAAGTAGAATAGAAACAGGTTTGAACTTTTAGCTGCGAAGTGAAAATAAAATAAAATATAAAATAAATCTAAAGTAGTGTTAAAGAAAGAGCGTGGAAAAAATATTCTCCTTTCGATGCCGCGCTTGAGACTAAAGTTTTTGTCATCACTCACCATGAAATACAAAACTAAAAGCGAATAAGAAAACATGGGAAAAAGAGAGAGAGAGTAGATAATATAGAAAAAGAAAGATGATTATAATAAGATTGAAGCATTAAATATACGATGAATAAAAGATGAGGTTTCAAAGCCAGACATTATTATTACAAATGAGATCCAAAACTGTGAATGATGCTATCTATCTACTATTGCTTAAATAATTCAATCACTTTTCAAAATTAAGATGATGCCAGCACGCTACACACCAATAGTCGTTGTGTTCCTTACTCTACTCTAAAAGAGAAAATTCATCTCTCTTCTGCTAGCACAACTTTAGATGGAAGGTACTGTTCGAGTGTTCATAAAAGCTTAGTGAATTTGAAACCAGGTAAAAAGTTAACAATTAATTTGCTATGCAAATATGATTATTTGAAAGTGTTTTTTTTAAAATAAAATGTATCTTCCCAAGTTAAATACAAAGTCTTTTTGTTTAAACCCATACATTTATGAATATTCATGAGAGATCCACATACATTAACACTATCTGAAATATGACTAATTAAATCTTTGGCACATGCAACACACTGTCCGAAACCTACCTTGTTTATAATAACAACAGGGGAAATATCATAATAGCTAGTGGATTCGGCTTTACTTTCAAATCCAATAGATATGACACAAGAAGTGCTTAGCTGCAGATGTCTCGAGTCCAATTATTGAAAGCATATTAGCACAATGATTCATATTGAAAATTTCTCAGGAAAAGCGTGGTCCTCATCATCTTTTATACGACTCATGTAAACAACAGTGAACTTTTATAATTCTACATAGTGGTAATCATAGAATGAAAACCCAAGCCCAAAATGACTCAGTATTTTTTCTAAGCCCATTGGTTAAGCCCAATTATGTATGGGCCTGGTCCAAAAACATAATACGGAGCTGCTTTACCTGCAATGGCGAAATTCTCTTCAACAATCCAAAGAACAAAAAGAAGAACTCTCACTAACTTTCCAGAACATTCAGTGAGGTGTGTTGCTGCAGAGAGTGTTGCAGGATGTCAATAGTGCCCGTCAATGAGGGTCAGGGCAATGGCACCAACTCTTCGATGGACTTGTGGGATCCAAATGTCATGGCTTTGTGGGATCCATTCATGGATTTTCCTCTCCCTCCTTCCATTTCCAATCTCTTCCCTGATATCGGGTTCGGGTTCGGGTCATCTGTGAACACACGTGTGGATTGGAGGGAGACAGCAAGAGCCCACGTGTGGAAGGTGGTGCTTCCTGGGTTCAGCAACGAAGATGTGCTGGTTGAGCTCCAAGACGAGAGGGTGTTGCAGGTGAGAGTGGAGAGTGGCAATTTCATGAGCAGGTTTAAGATCCCTGAGAATGGTGACTTACAACAGCTCAAAGCCAACATGCATCATGGGGTTCTTATTGTTACTGTTCCCAAGGTTGGGCAACCCTCGGGGGATAGGAACCTCAGGGTCATTGAGATTGATGGCACTGGCTGAACCCAACTACAATAACGAGGTACTAGGGAGGAAGGTCTGTCTCTGTCTCTTCAATGGACATATAAGCGAAAACAAAGTTCCTGGCTTTCTTGTCATATTTAATTCTTATAGTGTAGTATCATATGTTTGTGTCTGTTTCATCTTATGGGATGGAAGTGTGTTATTTAGTGTGCTATGATGCTATGTTAAGTTAGTTAAACGGATGCACATTATATATGTATATATTGTCTGAAAATGGCTATGGTGGCGGTTTTGAGTTTGAGTAATTAGGATGGATTAGTCTTATTTTTATTTTTAGTGTGTGCTTGTCATTGCCAAGATTATTATATTAATAATTCGACGAAAAATGTGATCATAATTGTTCAGCTGCTTGTGGAAAACGCTATTCCGGTGCATCATTAAAAGGTAGTTTTTTTAAAAACAAAATTCCATTATCATTAATACTAGTAAGGAAATAAAGAAAAGAAACAACTGAGGTTTCATGAACCATGACCTCTGCCTCATTTCTTTCCCCTTGTTATCAACCACGAGCCTCCTTACTCCTTATACTGCTTTTCCTTATCTACTCATCTCTTTCATATTCTACTTTCCATACTTGGAGTTGGCTCAAATAACTTCTTGCATGCACCCTTTAGTCTCCAAAAAGATAGCTGACATACCATAAGCAAAGGCTTTTTCTGCCCCCACTTTTTGCTGTGAAATCAGAGATTCACTGATATGATGCTCTTCACCAACCCATTTAAGGCATCGTAGGAAGAAGCACCTCTCACGGCTAGCCTAATCTCATCCTTCAATTCTACTGCTCTCTGCCCCATTTCTTTCCCTTCTGGATTCACCATCAGTCTTCTGACTGCCCCTTCTATCTCATACCTTTCTATGATATTGGACCATTCTAGACCTACCCTCCATACATGACTCAACAACCTGGCATTTACCCTCTGATCTCCAAAATAAGGATGGCAAAGAATTGGTACTCCTTCGCACAAACTCTCCAAGGTAGAATTCCAACCACAGTGGCTCCAAAACCCTCCCACAGCCTGGTGTGCCAAAACCTCATCTTGGGGTGCCCATTCCACAATGCAACCCCTTTTTGCTACTGCTACTTTGACATCTTCAGGCAATGATTCTAGCCACTCAGAAACATCATTAATGGTCCCTGGTCGAATAACCCAAAGGAAATTCTGCCAGCTATTGGCCAAGCCCCAAGCTACTTCAGTTAGCTCTTTCTCGTCCCAGCTAGCAATGCTTCCCAAACTTACATACAGCACATATTTTCTTGCTTGGTCGTTGAGCCATGCTACGCAGCTATAATTTTCTCGCATAAAGCTATTACTGATCAAGGAATCTTTAGCAATCAAGTGTAAGGGGCCTATGGGGAAGAGACTGAATTTGTATAGCTGTCGGAGCTGATCCAGGGATGGCCCTTCATGGCAATCCACAGTGTTGCTAATAACACAGGACACACGGGATATGACACGACACTTCGAACACGTTAATTCTAAAAGAATGTTATATTTCGATACGTTAAAACACGTTTTGATATTAAATAATATTTTTAATTTATGTAGTGAATATTATATTTAATATTCAATAGTTTAATAAAAAAAATGAAACTAAACTTATAATAAGCATCAATTTTGTAAAGATACATAAGATATTTCAAAAATTTATATTAAACTCAATAAAATAGTAATCGTAATCCAATGAATCTAATAATTTGAACTAAAAACGCAACGTAATATAACATTTGATCCTTTTTTTGAATCTCTGTAACACGTGTTAGCGTGTCGGGAAGTATCGGAATGTGTCGGACACGACACGTCAAGGTTTTTGAAGTGTCGGTATTTCATAAATAACACTTAAAGGTGTTTCAGCAATTGTTAGCCGTTTGCTGCATAAAAACATCTGGATTTGTTGAATTAAAAATAGGTAGATCTCTGAATCGCAGTGGATCTAGTTCTGACACCAAGTCACACGACCTAGAATCTGCCATGAAACATGTTAATTAGTCATTTCAGTAACTTAACTCTTCTTTTTTATCTTCAATTTCATTGTTCATTGTAACATAAAGTAACCTGGTGATATAAATCACCACTCACGAGCTTTGTGAAGGTAAAGTTTATTACAGGGAAAGTATTTGATTAGGATTTTAAAAAATTATTCTGAGATAAATTTTTTTAATAGATTTTAAGAGACTATCTCGAATTATAATAAATTTAAAACTTTTTTAAAAGATTTTTTTGGTAATCAAGATTATATAAGATTAAATTTTAAATGATTTTAATAGAATTTATGAGATTTGAAAGAAGTGTATGGATTTATAAAATTTTAAAAAACTATACGAATTTTAATAAATATTCAAAATTATAAGAGTCGATAAAAAAATTAACAAAGAAATGCAATGATATTAATAAAAAAATAAAATCTAATATAATTATTTCAATCAATAATTTGATATAATTTGATGTCCTACTAAGAAGCAGCTATCTTCATATATAAAGTTATATTAGCCCTCCACACATTAGTATATAAAAAAGACAAAGAAGAGAGCTACGCCAATAGATTGTCAAAGAAAGTTTGGGGTTGACAAAGTAGTAGTGGTTTGTAAAGAACCTTGGGATACACCACCCCACAAGCTAGCTCCCTCGCCGTCCCCCACTTTCTCTTGTGGAACTTCTTAGCACAAGTAGGCTGAGCCTGTTGCATCATCCACTCTTCAAGCCCAATGGGCTCTTCTGTGAGAGGGCGTGTTGAGATATATAGTTTCACATTGGTTGTATGTGCAACTAATGTGGCCTTTATAAGGCCTTGGACACTCCCACCCTTTGAGCTTGCTTTTGGGGTGGTGTATCTCAAGGTTCTTTACATGGTTAAACCCAATAATAAACAATATGAGAAAAATTCTCAAAAGGAATTGGAGAACCCAACATTAAAAGTGGAAAATACATATGCCAAAAGATCCACTGATAACACCTAACTATTGGTCTTGCTAAAGAGTATGCAAGAAATGCACAAGTATATCCAGCCACAAGTAATAGGGAAAATGTACTCTTATATTGTAGGAGAGTGTTTTTTTCTTCTACACATACATCAATTTTCGTGTTACTTTTTTATTTTCTTTTTCTTTTTCTATAAATGGTGGACACATGATTGTCTCTATAGTATAAGAGAATTATGTCCTATTGCATGAGATTAATAAAGCCTCAAGTAATATATGGTGTATTTAAGACGCCAATATCGTTCCCACGAGGATCTTTTGGCGAAAAAGTACAAAAGCAAAGTTGCAATTGCTCAAAATTGAATTTAAAAAAGAAATCAAAATTAAATTGATTAAACAGAAAATAAGAGGAACTAGATATTAATGTTCACTTGAAGGTTTTTGATTTCAAATTGAAGTTACTTGCTCAATACAAGAAATAAAAAAAGAATAAAATAAGTTGAGAAAATTATTTTTGGTATTTTATATTTGATGATATTTCCACAGAATTATGAAGAAATTAAGTGAATGAAGAAAAATCAGAAATGAAAAAGTTTTAAGAGTTCTAATTAGAAAAAATGGGTTGGATTTTGGTTCACCTCTTCCTACAACATTGCAGTGGATAAATTCCTTCCAAAATGCTCAACAACTATTTTCAATTAACTAGCTCAACGTTTAACTTTTAATCCCTTAAAAGTTATTTTATCCAAAATCAGCCACAAACATATCCCTATGCATATGGGACTTGGGTTCTTGAAGAACATAGCCTTAGTGTTCAAACCATGGTTAGAAAAGAATTGTTTCCCAACAACTCAGTTCTAAGGAAGATTCTACACTCGGTCGAAATGCAGAAATTCTTCAAGAAAGAAATACAAAATTTAAACAACTGAAATTAACAGTCACAGTACATGTAAAGAAAAATATCCACAGAACGTTGATGGTTGGGGACCACCTAAACCCAACCTCCACTATTTAGCTCATATCCATAAGGATAGAGCTTAAATACAGAAATAAAAACGAAAATGCAAAGAAAAATAAACGTTGAACTAACAAATACAGTATGAACACTATTTACCAGAATAGCCTCAACACTGTACTTGCATTACAAATCACCACTCAGATCTAAAAAATCAAAATACTACAGGTCTAGAGCGCAGAAAAATAAAAAATAAAAATATGAAAAGAAGAAGATGATGCAGAAGAGGGTGTAAGAGATAGTCCCTGCAACATTTTTTTCGCGTCTCATACTCGATCCCCTCACATGCATGGGCTTTGGTCATCGCTCACCAACAGTGATCCACGCGCTCCTTCCACGCAAGTCACACAAGCACTCCTTGCTACACGCTCTCCTCAAGTGCTCCACCAAAAGGAATCCCACTACTCGCTTGTAACAACCTCCAGGTCACTATTCGGTTAGGATAGTGTTTGCTTTTTTTAAGGGAGAATGGTTAGAGTCCACTTTTAGCTGAATGTTCTAGTGACTCTTTACAAGGAAGGGTTTGTGTGGTTCGATGGCTAACATAAATGGAGCTGGAAGTTTGATGGCACAACTTTGTGGTTTGTTTGAGAAGTGCGGTTCGAAGGGTGAGCAGCTAGGGTTTGTGCTCACAATTGTTTCTCCCAAATATTGTTCACGCTCCACAAATCTTTTTTTTTCTTCCAATTTTCTTTTTGTCTCTCAATTAGGCCTTTATGATTTGAGCTCCAGAGGCCATTTCTTTTTATTTTTCTCTTTTGCTTTGATTGCCCACTTCTTTCAATTCTTTTTGGACCTGAAACATCAAAAACAACCCATCGCTTTTTTACTCCACATAATTGCAACTCAGTGTAATTGGGGTTAATATTATACAAAAAATATTCTTTTCACCACATGTTTTAAGTCGTATTTCGTGGACTTATCACTAACCAATGAAAAAAGAACTACCTATTAGCACTACTACCAGACCTCATGCTACTCCAGGAAAACTTAACACTTACCCCAAAGCCCATCAGAACCTTCATATAAGCAATTTGATAAAAAAAAATAGGATTAATGATTTAGTGACATAAAAATATATTATTAATTTTAATAATATATTATGCTTTCAAGTCAAGTCTCATTAAATTAGGCTTGGGCTTGTTTGCTAAACAAGCTTTTTTTTAAAAATTTCATTCTATTTATTAAACAAGTCAAGTTTAAAGCAAACAAAACCTTGTTCCTTGACAAGTCTCTCGGCTCATTTACACCCCTGGTTACAATGAATAAATGGAGAGAAAATACACTATTTTCTTTACTTTCCCTTTATCCATTATGTTAGATTTTTAATGTAATTAAGCTTTTATCTGTCGTTTTTCTACTATATCAGCTTATAGCTATTTTTTTAGTACAATATTGACACTTAGATTTAAACTTATGATTACATGCAGATTATTTAAAACTTGTCATCGCTAATTCACTTATAGTGGCTTAGTTAATAGCCTTCTCAATTATTATTATTATTATTATGAATTAGTTTCATAAAATTGGATTTAACTAAAATTTAAAAGTTAAAACAAATAGACAATGTTTTAAATACCTTTACATATTTTTTTTCAATGTTTGAAATTTTATAACCGAAAATTCATTCAATACTTATATAAACTTTGTTTGTAGAATTAATTTTTTTCATATATGAAAAAAAATAAAAATAAGAGGAAACTAATTTCAAGAACCGTCAATATGAATTTAATTTCAAGGGACATAATTTTTCATATATATAAATAAAAATATTGTTAATTCTAAATAAAATCGTGAATAATTATTAATATTGTTGATTGACTCGTTATTCCTGTATCGATTAATAGTTTTGTGGCGTCTTGAATTTTTGTTGAACATTTTCAAATCTAGGGAAATTCTTAATTTTTTTTTTCATACAAGGATTGCACTGAGATTCAAACTTATATCTTCATGCAAATTACTCATTCTTACACTGATTGTAGCGGTTTAGCAAATATATATATATATATTACCAGTGATAGTACAAGTACGAAAGCAAATACTGGGATGGGAGGAAATCACCCCAAAAATAGAACAGAAATGCAAATGGCAATAAAATGAAGACTTTATAGATATATAATTAGGAATATATACATATATAGTAACCACTTTAATAAAATTGCAAATTCGTATAACAATTTTCTATCAATGAAAAGAACCATAACTGCATATATAAATAGTGTTTTATAATTCTTATATTGAATGAGAATTAAAATTTTATGTTATAGAGATAAAAAGTATGTAAAATCCATACATTAGAAAAAATTATATATAAAACTCATGTCAGCACAAATATTAAAGGGTGAATAGAAAAAATCTAATTCTTATATTAAATGAGAATTATAAAATTCATATAAATAAATATTTTGTCACCACCTACAAAAATGACATAATATCATAACTGCAGATTTGTATAGCTCCAAATTTGCCCCTCTTTTGGCGTGATGAGTCGATTCGGACGCTACAAGGTTGGTTTTGTGACAGCTGGATCCACGGAAATATCACCCAAATGAAAATCAAGTCTTAATTGCACTAGTGTAGTACAATACAACAAACATTTCCTAAAATACTGATACTGTGTAGTACACTAATACTACTATTACTACTTTACCATCCCCATTTCATTACTCACCAAACAGGGGTATACAGCACCATTTCAGATTTCCCACCAATCAAACCCAGAAACACACATGGATGATGGACACATGCATGGCATGGGAGGGATGGCACCCCCACCATCATCCACTAATGGCACCATGATGATGATGCACCATAAGATGATGATGCACATGACCTTCTATTGGGGGAAAGAGGCAGAGGTTCTGTTTAACAATTGGCCTGGGGACAGAACTGGCATGTACGTGTTGTCTTTGGTTTTTGTATTCGTGATGTCTGTTCTCGTCGAGGTACTTTCTCACACCCGGTTCATTAAACCCGGGTCGAACCATGTCGTGGCCGGTCTGGTTCAGACCCTGATGCATCTCCTCAGGGTTGGGCTTTCTAACTTGGTCATGCTAGCGCTCATGTCTTTCAATGGGGGAGTTTTCTTGGTTGCTGTGTTCGGTCACGCTCTGGGGTTCTTGTTTTTTAGCAGGGCTTTCAAAAAACCGCTCAAAGATGAGGGGTTTGATCTTCCTCCAATGACTTGTTAGATTGCATTTACTGTTTCCGTTTCTTTGTTGATTAATTAGAATAATTAAAAATTATTTTGTTATGTGTAATATCTTTCTGCAGAGACGAAATTGTTGCTCATCTGGTTTAAAAAATCTAGACGCATACGTAGTTCATGCGAGTGAGTTGTCATTTGTGACAAAATAAATCTGTTTGTCTATTTACTTTTGTGCCAAATTCATTCGATAGATACATTTTTCTTTGTAGTAGGTTATATTTATCACTTTTTTTTATCACATCTTATAACTAACTTTATTATTTTATATCAAAATTAAATTAATAACTCTCCCTTAATGTTATTTGATCCAACAATAACATGATTAGTAAGAGGTGTTAATAAGAAAAATAGAATTAGACAGAAATGTTTTTATTGGGTCTGACAATGCCGAATCCAGAAATTTTTACGGTAGAGGGTGAAAATAAAAAAATTTATATTATAAATAAAAATACTTGTAATAAATTATAAATTAAATATAAAAAGATTATAAAAAATTATTATAGAAATCAAAGTCAATTCACTTACTCTTGTTTTACATTTTTTTATATTATTAAACTCTTCTACAATTAAATATGAGCTAAAATTTAAAATAATTTCTTTTTTAATGTATGTAAAATACTATAAACATAATAGGAAATTTTCTTTATGAGCTAACCACTAAAATTTTCACTATTCTTTTTAAAAAATAATTATGAAATTAAGGGAACTAACAATATGAGTGAAAAATATCTGTATTAATAAACATTGAAGATATGAGTACTAAGTGGTTATAAATTGAAATTACTAAGCATTGTGTTACTACATCATATTAACTATTAAGAAGCTATAATTTTTTTTTTAACAAGTAGCTATAAATTCAGTCAATGACAGTGTCAAAAAATTAAAATATCAAGATTTATATTTTCGTATCATTTTTTAAATGAAAATTACTTTCCTTTAATTTCAAATAGAGCAAGTTAAGATTAGAAAACACAACTTAAATTGTCTACAGATCTCCCACCAATGTTTGTTGATTTATGATGTAAGAACCAAGAGAAACCAGTTTTTAAGCAAAGAAAACAATAATTTTACCACACTTTGATTCAAAGGAAAAAAGAAAGAAATAGAAAACATAGAATGAGATAAACAACGGGTAGTTGGATGAGAAACAAGATTCTCTTTAAGTTTTTTTTTTTTTTTTTAATTTGAAAGAAGAACTAACTTTTAGCCTTAATAACCTATCAATATTATCAAAATACCATTATATATAATAATAATAATAATAATTCAAAATTTAGGGAGGGTTCATAGCCAACCTTAGCCCCTCCCAACGTCGGCTTATGGGTCTGAGTAAGCTACTTGATTTATATATCGTACTTTGATTTTGATTCTTAATTATAACAATAAAATTATGTATAGTTAATTTTTTTAATTACTAATTAGGAAACGTTTGTTAACATTGTAATTCTGTGAGGTCCAATGAAATTAACATGCCCATTACTTATAGGCAAAAGTATTTTTTTTATCTTTGAGGCAGAAAATTTTTATCTCCCACATTTTTTTACTAGAATATATTTACGAATCTTTTTTTTTTTAAATATAAAGAATCTTGGGATACACCACCTCAAAAGCTAGCTTAGAAGGTGGGAGTGCCCAATGCCTTATAAACTCCACATTAATTGCTCATACAACTAATGTAGGACTATATATCTCAACACGTCCCCTCATTGAGCTTGAAGAGTGGATGATGCAACAGGCCCAACCTACCTGTGCTAAGAAATTTCACTAGAGAAAGTGGGGGACGGCGAGGTTTGAACCCGGAACACGAGGCTCTGATACCGTGTAAAGAACCTTGGGATACATCATCCCAAAAGTTAGCTCAATGTGGAACTATATATCTTAACACGCCCAGCTCATTGGGCTAGAAGCGTGGATATTGCACATGCCCAATTTTTGGTTTACCTTTTTGTGCTTTTTATTTTAATTCCACTTTTAAAGTGAGAGATGGTGAGAATCGAACTTGTGACCTTGTAGTCACATGTAAAGAACCTTTGGATACATCATCCCAAAAGCTAGCTCAAAGGGTGAGAGTGTCCAAGGCCTTATAAACTCTACATTAGTTGGCTCATACAACCAACGTGGGTTCTATATATCTCAACATAAACAAAGAAAAAGAAAAACCATAATCCTACCACAAACGCAGAAAAATTGAACCCTTACTTATAAGGGGAAAATGTGAATCATTTCGAAGGATGTAAAGTTGTGTCATTTTAAGTGAGAGAAAGAGATAGATAAATGAGGAGAGAGTGAACAAAAAATAAATAAAAGTGTGGGTCTCACCTCTTTGTGAGAGTGAAATGACACAAGTTGTTTCATTTAAAAGGATAAACATTTTTTCCTACTTATAGTTCTAAAAGGTCCAAATAAACATATTAAAGAAATTAGGGCTCGTTTGGATGAGTTTTTGAAAAAAAAAAGTATTTTTTATACATTGTTTTTTTTAAAAGAACTTTTTTTAAAAGGTAGAGTTATTTTACGTTTGGATGTATGATCTGAAAATCACTTTTATATAAAAAAAGGTATTTGAATGTTAAAATAAAAAATATATTTTTTATATATATAATTACAAAAAGGATCTATAAAAAAAAGTAACAAATTTTAAGATTTACGTAAATGAATTTTGGAGAATGTGATTGCAATATCAGAAAAGATGACCGTGCCTAAGGGCATATCGGTTGAAGTAGATTCTTCTTTTTGATCAATCAAAACCCCTCCCCAAACTGTACAAGCTTCTTCCAAAGCATACGGCTTTCTGGATGTAGATGATAATATCTATACAGGTGGATCTTCTATATATCGTAGAATTCTTCTATATATCGCACAGTTCCTGGAACTTCTCCAATGCTATAGGAAGATGCTTAATTGTAAAGTGATATGTTGTTGAAAGATCTAAATAAATAAAAAAAGCATAATAGTGAGATAGGGAGAGATAAGATAATTATGATAGGATGAGGTTAAAATTATTTTAAAAATTTATATTATCTTTAGTTTTTGCTTTTTCAAAAGTAACCAACCACTGGCTAAGAAAAATAGCATTTTAACCTTTATTTTAAATTTTACTCTTTTAAAAAGTTATTATCCAAATATCAAAAATTCTCAAAAAGACTTTTTTTTAAAAAAAAATAACTTTTTTAAGAATAAAAGTCGATCCAAACGGACACTTAATAGATTAACTTACCTATATTCGAGTCGCATCCCAATACATTTTAATTTTTTTTTTAAATATCATTCCATATTCACAACTCTAATGAGCTCCACTAACTCTTCATCCTAACCATGATTTTCGTCATGAGTTGCAACTCTCAATTTTTTAATACATTATTTTTTGAGTAGGTTATTAGACCAACAATTCTCAGGTCACCCCTCTACATTTACCTTGAGATTGATGGGATTATTTTAGTGGTATATTACCATCATACTCAACTAAATTGCTTCTCCAATGTATCCGAGTAATCTCGACAACCCTAACAAACAATTAAAGACAAATAAAAACAAATAAAAAAAAGTTAAATAAATAACACGATACAACGTCCAATAAAATATTAGAATGAGTTGTGAGACTGTTAGTTTCTAAAATTTGATGTTTTTGTAAAGTTAACTTTGAATTCAATGTTGATTGCTCCTCACTAACTCACTCTTAGTAGTTTTTGAAAATTATGTTACACTGATTTAACTCTAACAAAAAAATACATCTACATCAACGATGATACAATGTTAAGCGTATCTTAATTTTTCCATTAATGACTATGGAGGCGCAATTAAATTAGCTTAACGTGAACGGGCAGTCGATTGGCCTGCGAAAGGACGTGTAATAAAAGGTTGTAATTGGCAATCTCTCTTATAGTAGGTACATATATCATGACACTTAATTGGATAAATTTTTTATTTTTTTTTGAAATTGTTCTAAGAGTATTCCTCGGCTGAAAGTTAATGACTAATTCTCTCGAGGCAGAGAAATCACACAATTGTGGATACAGCTTCTCCCAAGAAAACATTTTCTATGCATGCACACAACTAGGAATCAAACCCTTGTCAGTATTTATTTCTTGATTTTCATACACCAGTACAACCATTTATTTCTTTTCTCTCTTCGTACAAACATCTCTCGATTTTTATTGGCTCGTTGCACTGAGTGAATGATGCGACAGTAGTACTGTAAATATTTCTCTCTCTTAGATAAGCATGAACTGTTTATTCTCGACCATTTAATGATTGTCATTTATTTGAAATTAATAATTAATTAATTGATATAACTCAATAAATTATGATTATTAGATGATAAAAATCAACAGTTAAAATAGAAAATAAAACTTCTAAATCTTGCAACAGAGTTAAAAACCCTTACCTATATATATATATATATATATATATATATATATATATATATAGGGGAGAGTTATATTACAAACTTTTTGTTTACAAACTCTTACAAACTACATTATATATTCCCGGAAGTACACTAGATTACACTATGTATTTACAGGAATACATAGTATAATTTACAAACAAAATATAAAATAAAATTGTAAACGAATCCATATATATATATATTATGTTCATGTTGACTCTTTCAATATATTAGACTTTTTTTTAATTGATTCTGTTCTTTAAGGGGTCTGCTTAACTTAGTTCTCATCATTTATCTCATATTTCTACCATCAAAAAATTGAGTGTTCTATTTTTTTCTATTTCTACTGAGATGACTCCTTACCTATTACGCTGGTTCTATGGTTGAGAAATTAGTCACAACCATTAACATATATAGAAATTAGTCATAAACAAATGCAGTATTATTATCTTAATAACTTTTGGAACAAAATAAAAGTGGTCCTATGAATTTTTAACCTTTATAAGTAATTTTTTACGTATTAAAAAGTTTAATCTTTTGCGCTTGATTCTTGAGTTCTTGTCTCTTCACAATTTTTTTTTTCCGACTAATTTATG